AACAAAGAAAGGAGGAGATAGATGGATACTAATTTTGCCTGTACTGAAGAGAAAGCAAAAGCCTCATTGTTTTGGATGAAAGAAGATGACTAAAATGTGATGGGCATGCTGCTGCTTGAGTTTAAACTGCTTGCTTCCATATGAAATTTTTCAAAGGATTCCATGTAATTACGTTGGAATCCTTTCTGGAAGGCTTCTGAGGAGCCTACATAACTGATTTTACTTTACTTTGGAAGGGCTATGAAACAGAATCCTCTAAACAGTAAGGTAAAAGGAACTAAAGTATGGCTGGAAGACTTGTCTCTGATAGAGAGGAGGTTGAGTCAACTTGGAAGGAGATGCACTTCCAAAAAGAAAAATGAGCAACAGAGCAAATAATGGCTGCTGAAGACTGCATTGTATGATAAAGAGAAATCTACTGAAAGCCTGCTGACCTGGCTGACTCTGGTCAGTGGTGGAATGGGCAAACATTTGTAAAACAGAGTTCATTCTAAGAAAAGAGGAAGCCATTGCCAAACACATTGGCATACAATCTCTTGATGCAGATAGAATAATCTTGCATTTGTACAATGGGACTCGATAGGCTATAACCACAGATGCAATATCCATTCACTGGATGACCACCCTGGCATGATGGGAGGAGGCTTCGTGGTATCCGAAGCAGAACATCCAGATTCAGCCATAGTTTCATTCCATACAGCATTAAACTTGTGAACTCTCACGCTTCCTCCTTCCGTTATATATTCAAGATGGACAGTGTTTAATATTTATTTGTTATGTACATGTAGGGGTGTGGGTCTATACATATGTTGTATATAGCATGTTTAGGTGTGTGTCATGTACGTGTTCACTTTGTGAACAGACAATTAAATTTCATTGTTGATGTGTGTCGTTGCATCCACAGTAAAAAATGACAATAAAGGTTATCTTATCTGATCTGATCTGATCAGCAGGGATGGCGTCATATCCAGACATACGGATGGCAAAGATGAAGAATAGACCAATGCAAAGCTGTAAAATGGTACAAAAGAGATGGACTTTGTGCCCCCTTCTTTTTTTTAATGTAACAGACTACAACAGAATTGCCTAATACAATCTGGATAGTCTGATCAAGAAGACAGTCTTGGAAAACTATGAGGGCTTCCAAACTGCAACGAGTTGGAGGCTATTACTTTGTTGCAATGTTTACTGCCTATAGTAAGCACAGTGGATGCAGAGGGCTCATTAAGAAAGCTTCCATTCTGAACACAAATGTATCAGTTGTGAGTAAATATGTTCAGAAGGGAGGCACGAAACTAAAATGCCCAATACAATTGCATGAAATCAATGGCCAGTGGAGGGATTTATTTTAAGTTGAGTAGAATTGAGAGGAAGTGATGTTTTATAACAAGTAGTGAAGCAGAAGTACCACACCTGTAGGTGATAGATCTGAAGGTGGATGGACCAAACGACTGAAGCCACAGCTGCCATAGAGCTCAGTAATTAAAGAATATAGGCTTAGCCTCTTCATAAACATCAAAAAGAGCCAATAAAGACTGGACAGTATAGCTCCTCAACAATGGAGCTATTGATAATGGGGTTGAAGATGCTTGTAAAGTACAAAGGAACCTGAGAGAGTTGGAGCTGGAATTAGAGAGGTTCTTTATTCCTTTCTCTCTCTCTCTTTTTCTTTTTTCTTTTTGCCCTGGTTGAAGTCAAACAGGGAAGGCTCTTTGAAAGCTTTGAATTCTCAATGGGCAATTTCTTCAGTGTTGACAATGGAACAGACTGCAACAGAATATTCATTGTGGGAGACAGAAAATGTGGTTGATCTCTCAAAGAAATGAGATTCAGACAGCAACCCAGAAGTCAAGAATTGAATGTTGACTTCTTCCATATGATTGCTATGGACCTCGTGTTTCAATGTTTTGGGCAATAACACAGATTGGCAAGGTAAGGAGAAAACACTGGAGGGTATGAATAATTATGAGCCATGTCAAAACTGTGACAAAGATTGTAACAATTTTCAGAATGCTAGGAGAAAGTAGAAAATGGATAAAAAATTCATACCAATGCACATTTTTTCCCAAGTTTATGTGTACATTTTCATTGCAGAATAGCAAAAATAAAGAATATTTCTACTGACATTTTATTTTATTTTTTGGCTGCTGGCTAAAGTGCTATGGTTTTTCAGGAGCAAAGAAGGGCATAGTTGCATAATTACATAAAAATGTGTTCCAAAGTCTATTCTACATTTTCTATGTCTTTAGCTGCTGAATGTTTTTAATTGGCAATTTAAGAGTGAGATTTTTATTCCAGTGCTCACCTTTCAATTATTTTGCACCTTTAAATCAGACTTGCAGTTGACTTAACTGGAAAATTGTATTTATTCTCATATTACATTTATCCATAGTTACTACATCTCTAACATACAAAATTAAGCCTATGCCCATTTGAAACTTAAACTAGAGAAAATTGATATTTAATCAATCAAAAATAAAACTGTTAACAGCACGGAGTAGTAATTCAGATATATCCCAAAAGTCATATTACAGATAGTCCTCATCTTACGACAGTTTAATGACGGTTCAAAGTTATGATGCCATCGGAACAGTGATTTATGACTTGTCCTTAATTTACAACTCTTGCATCACTCCATGGTCACCTGATTGGAATTCAGACACTTGACAACTGGCTCACATTGATGACCAATTGTAGCATCCTGTAGTCACATGATTACAATTTGCAACTTTCCCAACCAGTTTTTGATAAGGAACATCAATTGAGGAAGCTGGCATCACTTAATGGTCAATGTTTTGTTTAACGGAATAATATGATTCCCTTAATGTCCACAGCAAAAATGGTCATAAAATCAGTCACATAATGACTGACTTAATGACTGTATCACCAAAATATCAGTCCCAAAAGTGGTCATAAGCTGAGGGTCATTCGTACATTACTGTTTCAGAGGTTTGGAAAATATTTTTTGTTCTTATTCTCTTGTGTTTTTTTTTTACTATTGAAAAGAAGTGCAACATTTGTCAAACACATAAAAATTTATTCTTTATTGAACTGAATTATATTGCACTTCTGTCTAAAAATATTTGAGGGGTTCTTACAAAGATGAGGGGCTTCTACAAAGACAAGGGGATCAAACTATTTTCCAAAGCACCAAAAGGCAAGACAAGAAAAAATGGATGGAAACTAACCAAGGAGAGAAGCAACCTAGAACTAAGGAGAAAATTCCTAATGGTGAGAACAAACAACCAATGGAACAGCTTGCCTTCAGAAGTTGTGTGTGCTCCATCACTAGAGCTTTCAAGAAGAGACTGGATAGCCTGAAATGGTATAGGGTCTCCTGCTCAAGCAGTGGGTTGGACTAGAAGACCTCCAAGGTCCCTTCCAACTCTATTATTCTATGTTCTGTGTTTTAAAAAGATTATTTTTAGGTCAGCTGGTCAAATGGATTGAGAGATGTAATTTTTAAAAAGACAAGGCTTGACTTGGTTGTGGAATACTGTGGGGTTTGCTGTGTCACTCTACATTTTACTGGTCACTGGTTCTGGTAAATATTCACTTATTCTGGTGAATATTTCTGACTAAAGTAAATAGCTATTTATTTTTCCACTTTCAAAATGATTAGTGCTTTTTAGATACTAAAAATACTATTATTTCCTTTGAAAATTTTGATTATTTTTTTTTTAAAAAACAGCATACTTAAATACATCAAGTTGCATTTTCACGTTTTTTTAAATGTATCTACCAGCTGGACATAGTAAAAAAATAGTGATAAAATAGTAGTAAAAATTGTTGTAAATAAACAGCCAAAGTTTAAGAAAAAAATTAATTTGCTCATGCATTTCGCTTCCTGAAGCCAAATTTTAATGATAATTATTTTGTGGAATTTTTTTTTCTGAAAGTGAGAATAAATCTGCAAAGATTCCTCACTGATAACTTTCAGATGGCAAGTTAATGACATTTATTTCAGAGGGCATAAACTATAAAATTAAGTTCTCTCCCATTAAGCTTTCATGCTGCTACTATTATTATCTATGCACATGTCTTCATGGTTTTTTATTAATTTTATATGGCTCTTTAGTGCTTTTGTATTTCTAGTGGACAGAAGAATATCTGCCAAGGAAACTGGAAAATTTGCTAAAAGCTTTAGTTAAAGAAAAAAAAATCAGATGTATAGAAATTTATGTAATAGAATCTATAGATTCTATACATAAATTCTAAATCTATAGAATCTATAGATTTCCTATATCCAGCTAGGGAATGTTAACTTATAACAAGTTTTTTAATTTATGGGAAGATTGCTATGGGGAAAATCTAAGTGGATTCTAAGAATCAACACTGACAATGGCACATGACCAATCAAGCTATACTTTATGATATATTGAGGCATGTGTATCTAATCTTTCCACCAATAAGATAGAAGAATCTGTCCAATAACAAGAAAGTGGCCAGGAATAACATTCACATATATCAGTTTTAGAAATGAGATATTATCTATTGGTGCCATTAATATACACAAGGAACCTGAGCAAAACTAGTGTCTCTTTTTTGAATTAATTATCAGCTAGGTTCTGATGATGGGGCAGGGAAGAGACTGATCTAAAACGGTATCATTGACCACTTGTAAAACCATATTTTTAAGCCTTCACTAAAGATAAGAGCTGAAAATACAGGTCAAGACCTAAAGCTTATTCTTCTCTATTTTTCCCTTGGAATCTACAATATTTTCTGGTAGTTACAACATACAAGGCTGATATGTCCAAGCATTTACCCACAATAGCATAAATATAATTTCAGAAGATATTATCCTATCGAACACAGACAACTGCAGACAACTCTCTGCTGGCCAATTTTGATGTCAAAATTAAAATCCCTACAAAGGAAACTTTTCAAGCACCCAAAATATCAGTACAAATCAGGTTAAAATAAGTACAGGAAGGAGGAGGAATCATGTTTCGAAACAGCATGGGATACTTAAATGCGGGATCAAGGCAGTGGTTCACCTGGTATGTATCCCAAAGCCTTATGGTACATCGCAGGGGCACTTCTCTCATCAGTAAGTTATTCATCCAACGGAAAGCAAACTGAAGGTATTTTACTTCATGTTGATCTATGTGTTTATGTACTTGCTCTGAAAGAAAAAAAAAGAAAAGAAATAAACTACTGATGATATTTACATAACCCACACAAAGCAGTGTAATATCATATATGTTCCCCACATACTGTATATATCATATAAATGGTATATCATATATATACCCCAAATACAGTTCAGAAAATCCTCCATCCCTCTGGTTCTGGAATATAAGCAGGACCTAGGATTTTAAATAAACCCCATGTATATTTATACAGTCAACTCAAGGCAGTTAACACACTTAATACTCCTCCGTCCTGTTTTCCGCATAACAACCCTGTGAGGTAGGTTGGTATGAGAGATAAAAAGTGGTCCAAAGTCAGCTGGTTTTCATGCTGAAGGGAGACTTAAACCTCACATTCTCCAGAACATTAATCACTACACCACTCTCAGCCTTTATTTGAATGTCTCCAGTAACAGAGCACACACAACTCCAGGAGGCAAGCTGTTTCATTGCTAGGCAGTTCAAATGCAATAGAGGTCCAACCAGGAGCTCAGCTACTTTTCTCCTCTGCACTCCCCCTTAACTCACAGATCGCAGCTCTTCCCAGCTATGTCTAATTAGTTCAAATGAAATGGAGGTCCAACCAAGAGCTCAGCTACTTTTCTCCTCTGCACTCCTCCTTAATTCACAGATCGCAGCTCTTCCCAGCAACCTCTAGGCAGTTCAAATGCAATGGTGGTCCAACCAGGAGCTCAGCCACTTTTCTCCTCTGCACTCCTCCTTAATTCACAGATCACAGCTCTTCTCAGCAACTTCTAGGCCAGTGGTTCTCAACCTATGGGTCGGGACCCCATTTGGGGTCGATCGACCATTTCATGGGGGTCGCCAAGGAAGGCTGTCCGCCATTTTTTTTGTCTGCCATTTTTTCCCCTTTTCCGGCGGGTGCCTTACCTCCCTTGGGCTGGGCCAGCTGGTGGTCGGCCTGCTCCGTCTCTGCCGCTTGCCAGCTACGCCTCGGCCGACGCAGGGGGCGGAACCATGCATGCGCGGCACTCCCGGGCAGGGAAAGTCCTCGACTTATGACCGGTTGGGTAGTCCTTGACTTACGACCGGTTTAGTCCTCGACTTACGACCGGTTGGGGTCGCGGCATTAAAAAGGTTGAGAACCACTGCTCTAGGCAGTTCAAGTGCAATGGTGGTCCAACCAAGAGCTCAGCCACTTTTCTCCTCTGCAACCCCCCCTTAACTCACAAGATGGCAGCTCTTCCCAGCAACCTCTATGCAATTGGAGGTCCAACCAAGAGCTCAGCTACTTTTCTCCTCTGCACTCCCCTTAACTCACAGATTACTTTTAACTTAAATGTTATCTTATGTTAACTAAAGCTTTACTCATGATTAAAACAAATAGGCAGCAACTTCCACTGATTTATATAACAATTATCAGAATATCTTGTGGATAATGAAACCTGCAAACCAAGGCAATTTAAATGTTTCAAACTTCTTTTAAAACAAAACAAAACAGAAAAATATTGAATTTACCATGGTGTTTTTTTTTAAATTATTTCTTAACATATTGAAAAATGCACAACTAAATGCAAAGCTTTTAAGTGTCATTTATTTGATAATATATGAACAGACGAAAGAAAACGCTCAGGCTGAAAAAAATTCATTCCTCTTTTTTCGTAAGTAATTGTGAGCAGATGTTATTTCACTGATAAAGGTAATTTGGTTGGCAATAATTCTAAATTTAAATTTTCCATTTCATTGAAAGTAAGCATGCAGATGTAATAAATGACTTGGCAGATGTAATTATTGCCTTCTTTCAGACTTAGAATTTTTCCAAAGATACTTATGCAGCAGTTTGCAACAATAAAATTATGCTAAATCTTCAACAAACAATAGCGCTTGTATCAAAATGAAGAAACATAAGTGATTTTATTTTAACAGTCTTTTCAGCACTTTTATATCTCATATAAAACGACTGAAACTATTTGAAGTAGGGCATCCAGTTTTTAAAAATATGTTTAGAAACCCACAATTTATATCATTAATTTACTGTGTTTGGGTTTAAGAGGTAACATGTTTATACGGGCGCATGATGTCTTTTACAAACAATTAAAAATAATGGGTCCATAATTTATCCTTAAACAGACTACGTGAAAAAAACACAACGTTTAGTTAAAATGGTATCTTAACATAGTAAGAACATATTCATTAGATCAAATACTTCTGACATAAAGCACTGCCTGGAGTTAGAACTTAAAGCTATAGCAGTTTCAGGCAGTCTTCCGCCAGAATTTCTGTTTGTTGTGCGTCTCGTTCAAGTCAACCGCCTCTCCTGGAGCCTCCAAAAGTAAAAGTGAAGCTCTCATTGTTGCAACCAACTGATTGTCCAATGGTCCAGGAATAGTTAAATGGTAAAGAAATGGACTAACCATATTATTTGAAGTGGGAAAACCAACTTCAAATGCTTCCAGCAACATTACAAAATGCTTCTCTCACAAATCTTTATATTGCTTTATTTATTTTATATTCTATCCTAGTGCCCAGGAACATAAATAACTACAAACCCAATGTAGCATAGGGCAATAGCTTTTGCCCTATACTTCTCCACCTGGTGTATAGAAAAGCTTCCTTTACTCTAAACTATTCTGAAACAGAAGCATGTATTTTAAATTTGATTACTTGTATTCCTGAAAGAATTAAATAAGTTTCATCATATATCTCATGTAAAATGACCATATGTAAGGTTAGCTAATGCTCAGTTCTGAAAATGCTGCAAAAATGTTTAGGCTAAATTCACTAGTTTTGTATTTAACAATTTCCTTGGTAGCCTCAGATGATCAGAAATTCCGTAGGGAACAGCACAGGAACAGGAAAGTGATAAGATTTTCCCTTTATCAATCCAATTGGTTTTTATGCCATCCTTATAGAAATATAAATGCTGCACTAAAAGAGTTAGGATGGGTCATTCTAACCATCCCTCAACCTATGAGGTAACACTCATGTATCTATATTCAACATACCGTATGTTCTTGGTAGGATGGATTTTTGTTTTAATTAAACAGAAGTTCCTATTAACAAAAAGATCAGAGATGCCGGTATACAATTGTGTACAAATGATGGGTTTCAGTAATCAGTCAAAATAATAACAGATTAATATATGAAATTACCCTATTATTTCAAACTCAAATAATGAACTTTATATTGAATTTCCCTAGCCCATGAAATTAATTTCAATTGATACATTTAATTTTACTGTCTGAACCAACATCACTAAACTCCATAAATCAGAGAGAAAAATCAAATGGTACAAGCTTTCCAAAAAGCTCTTGCTGTTTTATACCAGGAAATGAACTTGATCATGTTCAGTAAAACTGAGTTAATACACCCTAGAAAAGTAATTAAAATAGTTTGTCTTTAACACTTTATATACAGTTTAAAACAGCTTTGCTTATAAATATTGTAATGCAACAAATCCACTGAAACTGAAATCTTAATCCACAAGATAAAGAACAACTCTTTCATAAAAAGACAACATATGCCTGTAATTCTAAGAGCTGTACATTTATTATGAGTAGTTCTGCAAGATGTATGATGGGGGGAGGGAACCCTAACAGGCAATAGAGAAATTATGCCTAGATTAATAAAGATTCCATGTGAAACTGTGCTGACAACAGTTTTTGACAGCAAGTTTGTATTAACATTAAGATAATTAAATGTTATTTAATTTTTCAGGATGACATTTCATCACAATGAGAGCCAGTTTGTGTAGTAATATTCTAGTCCAGACATGTCAAACACAAGGCCCGGGGGGCCGGATGCGGCCCACAAAGTGGTTTCATGTGGCCCGTGAGGCCATCCTGGAAACAGTGAAGGAACGGCCTCCTCTGCCTTGGCCCTGGCCCAGGCTGGCCAGAGCCAGTGTACAATTTTGTGGTGGCCATCTATGCTGAAACGCATTCAGTCTTAGCTCCACAAGGCCGTCTAAAAACAGCGAGGAATCAGCCCCTGCCGCGTCAGCCCCGCCCCCTGGGTGCATGCTGGGGAGGTGTCACCCTTTGTGAGGAATGAAGAAATGGACCATGCCTTGGCGCTTGCCCCGGTCCCACTCCCTTCTGCCAGAGACCCTCAGATCTGTCCCACTCCTGCCCAGGCCCCCACAGGCACCCTTGACGTGAACAATGTAGAGCTGGCCATGCCCACCCAGTAGGCCACACCCACTCCATCCATGCCCAGCCAGTAGGCCGCACCCACCCTGGCCACACCCACCCGCCCCCTGAGGGCAACCGCAATGCTGATGCGGCCCTCAATGAAATTGAGTTTGACACCCCTGTTCTAGTCCTTCCTTAGGTTTGAAAGCTGGTTGCATGATTTTCGACCAGTGACAGTCTCTCAGCAACCAGGTTTGTTGTTATGGGGAACATAGGAGACAGGAACATTAGGTTTGCTCATATATAAAATACATAAATATATTTTTCATATATAAAATGAAAAAATATATATATAAAAATATAGTAACAATACCAACAATGTATCCCGAGTCCTTGAGAAGCATTTGATAGGAGGACAAAAATGCCAGATCTAATCTAAACATCTGGATGACTGTGCGATAAAACTATACTAATAATAATAGTGGGCATCCTTCCATTGGGACAGGACTCATTGGCATGCCAGGTTATTTTTAGATTTTTAATTTATCAATGTGGTCCTTTCCTCTCAACAAGTTATGAAGGCCTACTTTAAAGTGATTTTCATTAGTGCAAGTACTTATGACCATTTGTTTAATGATGGTTCAAAGTTACAACAGTCTCGGAAAAAGTGACTTACAAACTTTACCTCAAAGTTAATACTGTCACATCATAATTCAGCTCTTTGGAAACCAGCTCTCATTTATGATGGCTGCAGAGTCTTGTGGTCACATGATCATGTTTTGTGATCTTCCCAGCTAGCTTCTGACAAGTAATTGTGGAAGCTAGATTCACTTAACAGCCATGTGATTTGTTTAATGACCATGGTGATTTGCTTAACAACAATAAAAATGGTTGCAAAATTGGGCCTGATCATGTGAGAACTTACTTGATGACCACATCACTTAGTGGCCAGAATTCTGGTTCCAATTGTGGTCATAAGTTAAGGACTACCTGTATTCAGTTTTATTTAAAGTTTTTAATAACCAGTCAGCAGATTATGATAACATTTTACTTTGCTATCCTATTTATACCCTAGTTTTCAGGCATTAATCCTTGCTGTCTAGTTATATAACTAACATCTTCTACAATATCTGAATATTTCACCTAGCATTTTGTAGAGCAAAGGGTCCTTTTCTTTCTTGTTTGGTAATATTTGGTTTAATTCAGATGTTACAAGGAGTTTGAACTCCAGTCACAGCTCTGACCTAGGATCCAATAGCTGGCAGGAGAACCAGGAAGCATCCAGGCCTTGTTTGGCTTGTGGCTAAGAGCACAACAAGGTACTATAACAGTGTTTCTCAACCTTGACAATTTTAAGGCATGTGGACTTCAACTCCCAGAATTCCACAGCCAGCATTGCTGGCTGTGGAATTCTGGGAGTTGAAGTCCACATGCCTTAAAATTGTCAAGGTTGAGAAACACTGTACTATAAAGTCAGAAAATTCTATCATCTAATTCAATTTTATCTATAGTGACCAACAGTCACCCTTCATGGTTTTAGGTGTTAGTAACAACTTTTAAAGCGCTCCATGGCAATGGACCTAGGTATTTGCAAGACCGCCTCCTACCAAACACCTCCCTTCGGCCAGTCCGCTCCCACAGAGAGGGCCTCCTTAGGGTGCCGTCGGCCAGACAATGCCGGCTGGCGACTCCCAGGGGGAGAGCCTTCTCTGTGGCAGCTCCTGCCCTCTGGAATGACCTACCCCCCGACCTACGTACAGTTGCGGACCTGCGCCTTTTTCGCCGAGCCCTGAAGGCCCATCTATTCCGTGCGGCCGGCCTGGTGTAGCTTGATTATGTTTCAGTGGGGTTTTTTTTACGGGTGTGTTTTTTACGGGTGTGTTTTTAGAACAGGCCCGTTATTTAATTCGATTTTAAAACAAACTATTTATTACCGTGGTTTTTAGTATCGCCTGTTCACCGCCCTGAGTCCCGCAAGGGAGATAGGGCGGTATATAAATTTAATAAATAAATAAATAAATAAATAAATGGTTTTAGGCAAGCTCTTCCTTGTTACACTTGGAAATATCAAAGATTAAGCTATTTGAATGAAAACATGTGCCCTCTCTCAAGCCATGGTTTTTCTGTGCAAGAGAAGAAGGAAAGAAGGTGGTTCTCTGTTCATCTGAATAGTAATCACACTTTTCTTTAAAAAAAAAAACTGAGAAAATCATTTATTAGAACAGGATTGTCAAACTGCTGGCCCATGGGCCGGACACATCACGAGGAAACTGTGCCCACTCCATTGCCGGCAATGGGGAAAAAGTTCCGATACTGTCACGTGATGTCACGTGACGTCGTGAGTTTGACATGTCTGTACTAGAAGATTGCTTATGTACAACTTCCATCTGACCCTATTAAAAACTAGTTATAATGCATAACTTCACGTAATGATAAACACTGATAAAATGTATGTTAAAATTTCAGCACATCATACAGCATCAAGCATCACTATTTAGCAAATCCCATCGCAAACAGAAAAAAAATGCCAAGGTAGAATTGCTAGAATTAAGCTTATACTGCACATTAAACCATATAAGTGATTGTCTCAAGAAGCTTGTCCAGCTTAGCCTATTTGAGAAATAGCATTTCTTTGGCACACACCAATAATTGACAGGCAGTGTCACAATATATGCTTAGTTCTGCTTGGCATCTTTTTGCTCATTAATTTAGCAAACTACCAAGAGAATATGTTCAGAACCGGTAAGCATTATCTCCTGAATTTTGTTTAATTAAACCGTGCTTTAGCAATATGACAGTCAGCATTTCATGATGGGGATTGTTTTAAGAATGAAGGCAGAAAATATTTCAAAATAACCCTGCTAAACATGTAAAAGGCATTAAATCTACCGTTCCATCCCATGTAATTTATTTCTAGTATTAAATATGTTATTTACAAAGCTGGTAATTAATTGGATTCCATTAAAAATATTCACAGGTTCCTTGTAACTAAGCAATACACAAACAACACATAATATCAAAGAACAGCTATATTTAAAAAATCCTGTCAAACTCTTATAATTATTGAACTTAATGCACAGTGAATGCTAGCTGCCTTTGGTAAGCAGACATTAGTTTGCAGCAAAGTGATTGACATTAAATGTCGATTACATTACTTAATAAAATCTAAAGATAATGGCTCAACATCTAGTAGCTTTTCTTTAGGTGACACATTGCAGTAATTGTGCAAAGGCCACTGTGCCCCACAGCGGTTGAAGGTAACACCTTACTTATGAAAAGCTGCATTACAGTAGGGGCAAAATGTTGCAGGGTAACCAACCCCATTGTAGTTAAACTCAGCCTTTTGCATTATATGGATGGAAATCAATGGACCCAATTCCTGTCTCCCAATCTACAACTGTATTCTCTGCTCCTTTTAGAGAAACTTTCTCCTTGGAAGAGTTAAAAGTGATCAGATAATTTTTTTCAAACCAGATGCTAGTTAAAAGTTTCATCTTGGTACCACATTATAAAAATCAAAAGCCTCTCTCAATAACTGGTCAATATCATTAACACTTTACGGAGGAAAACTTATGTCTGCTCAATTTCAAACCATGCCCACTACAAACCACAAAGAAAGGTTTTGCAGACATCCAGTAGCGGATCCCTCTTCTCTTGCAGTGTTAGCCAAGTAGATGGCACCAACCATTACATCCTCTAGAACCCTATCTATGATTAAATAAGAGGGCAAATACTAATGATAAACAAGCTTAAGGGGTCAGATGCCAAATGACAAGAACTGCCTCCTTGCAGATGAAATTCAAACTGTTAGTAGTCAGGTTGCTCCCTTTGCATTGCTCTCTTTAAAGCTCAGAAATAATTCTTTAAGCTCTTAATTTTACTATTGGTTCCAGTTTAACCCAACTCCTATATATGCATTTTCTTTGATATGTTTTCCAGTCTTCTCTCCTAATTATTTTTTTCTTTTTTTATCCTTGTATAAGGATGTCACAACCTGTGATCACCACAATAGATTAATAGATTAGTATGGTGCTGCTGAAGCTTTTAATTGAACACTCTCCAAAGGACACAATTCAAGTTCCCCTTAGTTTTTAAGGCTTACCATCAATCCGACTAACAAGCTCTTCCAGCATTTTCACTTTCTTCTGAATACCAGGTTGAGCAAAGGTATAGTTATCCTAGGAGACAAAAACATTTTAAAAATTACCTGTTGACTAACAGATACAAAAAAGATGCTTCAAAAAAGTTCACCTATTTAAATGAATAATGCATTTCTAGATCTCACCAGCTGTCAGTTTGTCTCACCATTGATAAATGACCAACAACACAATAATAAAGTTACCAAGAGAAATATTTGTATTAATTATAATTACTTGGCTCTGTTAAGATCTGTCATTGAACAATGGGACATTCTAGCCCAGTGATGGTGAACCTTTTAGAGACTGAGTGCCCAAACTGCAACCCAAAACCCATTTATGCATCGTCGAGTGCCGGGTGGGCGTGGCCCATTGGGTGGGCATGGCCCATTGGGTGGGTGTGACTGCGGTGGTAACGGCAGACTGGGTGGGACTAAAAAGTTCAATCAATCAATCCCAACTTTGCAAGATCTTTTTTTTTCCCCGTGAAAAGTTGAAATTGACTGATTGAATCTTTTTTTTTTTTTGCACATGGCGGCGGAGGCCTAAAGCAAAAAGGTTTTATAAAACCCAGCTGAAGGCCTAGGACTGGGGCGATGGCGCATGTGCCCACAGAGAGGGCTCTGAGTGCTGCCTCTGGCACCCGTGCCATAGGTTCCCCACCACTGTTCTAGCCTGTTTAAGTACGATACCTTTTCTCTAACTGATGCATTACCAACAACAGAAAAATAGAAGCTAGGAGTTATACACCTGAGAGGAAATAAATACATCAGAGAGCAGAATTAGGGAGAGTGTAGACTCATTGGTGTGTTATGTTCAATATTAAGGTGTCAATCGTTATTTCAGTAAAAAAAGGACTGACGTGACATCAATACTGCAAACATGAGAAATTGTCAAGATAACTTTCTTTATAGTAAAGCCAACAATATATTCCCAAATCTTGGAAATAGTTATCTATTCCATACCATAGTTCCTGTTAAAAAGGAAATGCATTATAAATGCTCCATTATTCTGTATTCTAAGGAGTCAACTTCTTTGACAAAGCATCTGAGAATTCTAGAAATGACAAGCTAAAATATCTAAAAAAAAATTCATTCCAGTTGAAACAGTAGTATATTTCTTTGTTCTCATTTGAGGAATAATACCTATAAAGAAAATGGTAGTTCAAATTCTAGGCGGTGAGGTAATTGTATTTCTGTGCTGTCAAAAAGAGCTACATGATGCAAATTTTCCTTTCAATACTTTAAAACAGAAGAATGCACAAGCCATATTAAAGCTTTCAATCCACTAACCATTTTTCAAACCTAAGACCCATCTTACTGGAAACTACGTGACATGCTTTATGTATCATTCTCTTGACAAATAGATACATTTTATGATGATTAAGAAACAACAGAAAGGAATTGTAAAAACAATGCAAAGAACATTTTCCCAAACAGCAGTATTCACAACAGAGAAAAGTGCATCTGTCAATAAAAAAAATTATTTTCACAGGAAGAAAGAGAAAGAGAAATCAGGAGATCACTGGATCATACAGTATGTTCACCAACTAATTTATTAAAATTAAAGGGTTGCTTTTTTCCCACATTGCCTTATTCTATGCACTTCTATCCACCTACATGGAAGTTATTGTTTCAGCCCATGTATATTCATGGCTGTGATAGAGGATGCTTAAAAACTAGGCCATTCAAAAACTGCTTTCATGATATAAGCCTACTGAAAGTCAGGCATCACAATGCATACATGATGCCAGCTACTAGATGGAATGATTTAAAATACCATTCTCATACTTGCAGCTATGCCAAAAAGAAATCTGACTGCTCAAATTTGAAGCATAAATATAAATGCTTAACTCTACTGATCTCTTATGATATCAATTCATTGGGTTAGGTATGAATTTACAGAGAAGAATGACCACTGGCCTCATCTTTGATTGAAATATATTCACTGCAGTTACACTTCACACACTGAGAAAAGGTTCACAGCAACCTTGAGTCCTTTAATTTAAATCCTCTGTATCTGTGCTTTAGCTATCATTTAATTAATCCTGTTTCTGTTCATATTACTTGTATTAATTTATCATTTTGTAATTATTTGCATTTTAACTACTATTCAGCATTGCAATTTGATTTAGGCTTTTTTTTTTAAAGGGGGGCTTTTTTTAAAGAAAATACTGAGAGGAGCATCCTTGTTTGGAAAGATAGCATATACATTCTACTATCTAAACATGCCTACTAACATGTTTAACAATCATAGAAAGGAACACTGAACTGATTTCTTGGGGGGGGGAATATCTTTTTAATGCACCTTAGAAATGATAATGGCCCAGTTCATGATAAATTATCTTTATCAGCAAGAATCAGGCAGGTAGCCCTTTACCAATACATGCAGGGACACCAACTGCTGCATCCTGTTTATCAAATGTCCTGCTTTTCAATATCTCTAAAGTACTTCCAAACCCAAATGCAAATGAAATATGTCCACTGGTTAGAAAACAGAAATCAATTCACCTGAATTCCATCAAGCAGTTTGCTCATGCACCAGAAGCTGTCAGCTTCAATATTCTGCAGTTTCTCAGTGGAAAGACTGGAAACATCAAAATTTTCCAAATCTTCTTCTGAAATAAAGAGAAGGCGAGAATGTCAATTAAATGTGGGAGACAAACACAAGATTTAACACACAATATGTAATCTTGATTAAATTTAACTATGATGGTTAAATTGAATGTCTTTGCTAAGGACTAAACATTCTAAGTTATGCAATTTGACTAAGGCACTAACACCCAAGTCTCCAATTACAATGTCTCAAAGCAATGTCTCTCATTTTCTCCAGTTTCCTGTGGCAGTTCTCATCACACTCGCTGTATGAATGTAAAAAGATACCAAAAGGGTTGCCTAAAGAAAAATGACTGTGACATAAAAAAGTGACAGGCTGATGCGAGGGGCTGTGGTTGCTGCAAGCACTTCCCTTCGCTCTTGTTTATTCTTGCACAGCACGTGACTCAATTCTTGTGAAAAACCTCTGTGGAGCAAACAGTAATTCACCGAGGAAGGAAAGATGTCTGGTCCACAGGCAGCAGCAACACAATGCAATGAAAATGGAATTACAGTTTTTAAGGTGCCATATGCAAATGATAAAAGATGGTTAGAGTAAATCCAGCAATGGTATTTTGGTTTACTTTTAAAAGCCCTGAAATAATGCAGCATTTCTTGGTTCACCACCAAAAAGAGAAAATGCTTTTCTCCTAATTTTTCAGATATAAATGTTTCTTCTGTATTCAGTGGAGCTTTTAACACATAACACAAGTTAACCTTCTCTTTATATTGTTTCAGATTTATCCACAGACTCTATGACTCAGTGACCCTTTAAAACTGTTTTCAGATGAGTAGCAAAATAAGTATTTGCTGCAAAACAAAAATGTTTAGACCTCAAGGGCATCTTTTCAAACAAATTACTTGACTTTTTCTATCATTGAGCATAAGGTTCCTTACTGGTTTACAATAAATATTTAAGTTTGTAACATAATAATGGGTTACCCTTTATAATATATTTTCCTGTTGAACGAGGTTAGCTTTGAAAATTGCCAGTTACCAGATAGGAGTTAAACACTAGAAATTTCTTATACTGCACATACATATCAATACACTCACATGGAACAATATAGGAAACAGAATAAATACAAATATACATTTGAAGAGAACAAGAATGTTTTAATTCTGGAATTTCCATGCTGGGTCCCATTTCACAAAGCATGTGCATCTTCAGAGTCCTCTTGACCCTCCTTTCACCACAACTGTTACCAAATTCTTAAGGTTTCAAATTTTAAACATCTTCAGATAGTTAAATACAACTCTGAATCAATTCCCCTCAGATGAAGAACCTGATACAAAACATTTTCAATAATTCACAACCAATATTACGAAAAGTAAAAAAATGATTTATTTTATTTAGAGATGCCAGAGCCACCGAAAAATATTAAGAAGTGGAAATGTATGAAACAATGCTATTTTAAGAGGAATTTTATTTCTGGTTGTGATTTACTAGATGCCCTTGACCATCTTTTGGCAAGAGGTACTTTCACAAAGTTGAGAACATTAAGCATATTGGTGCCTTGCTAATAGAAACAATTCTGGATGAATGAAAGTGAATTTAGAGAGTTCATTTATCACAAATAGGGCATCATAATTTGTATTTTAATTTTTCAGAATAAAATTCATAGCATGCAACAGCGTTCTTCATTAGCATAACCTAATTACACCACAGTTCATTATTCCACAAGTAACTGTTAATACTGCTACTAGGATTATAAACATGTTTACAAAATTTGGAGGTACAGTGGGGAAAAGAAATCAGTCAAGAATTACATTTTATACCACCTTCAACTGTTAAAATATTGCAATCCATGTGTACTGACTGCTCTACAAGAAGTAATAAAACTGAAGGTTTAATTAAAATACTACAAAACTAAGATTTTGTGATTGTTGTGGTTGAAATAACTCTTACTGGTTAATTCTCAAAATGGTTTGGCTTTATTCCAATGAAAGAGTTAATTATTACCCAGTCTGACAATATACACTGAAGCACTCTGTTGTACAAGTTGTGTTCATACTACTGTTACAATCAAATTCTTTTATTTTAAATACAGTTTACCATAATGCACTTTCACTTATTGTTTGCTAAACATTAGGTGTTAACAATCACAGAAAAATTGTCATAGAAGCCACAAATGTACATTAGGCAGGAAGAAGGGAAAAAAAGCATTATGTATCTGCTAGCTACAATGGCTAAGCTAACAGGTAACAACACCAACCCAACATTTTAAACCACAGCTTGTTGAACCACAGTAATCCAATTACTAAAACACAATGGGTGATTTCCAAACAATGCTACCAAATCAAATGTTCAACTTTCTCCACAAAGGCGCTCCTGTGCAATTACTTCAAAGACAGCAACTTCATTCATGCTCTGTGCATATAAAGCATCTCATCTGAATGCTTTGCACTACTCTGTAAGAAAATAACACTTAACCTGTTCTTACTGTGTAGATGGCATCCTCATTAGTTCAACTTTATATACTGTAAGTACTTCCAAACACTTTAATATACAAGTGTACTCATTTTCTTTTGAGCCACAGCATAAGAGATTTGTGATACTAAACTGGAAAGATGGTTGTGAGTAGAATGGATGCAAAAATTAGATTTCAAATCTTAAAATGTGATTGAGACTAATATAACAAAAGATTCCTCTTAGAATAAAGCATAAAAATATAATTTGAGGGACCCAGGCTACAAACCTGTATCCTGTTTTTGTATCTGGTATTCAGAGGGGCTTACTTCCAAAAGATACATTCAGGATTGCCTGAAAATGTATTTTAATCATATATCTTATAACAGTAAGAATGTAATGTATGTTATGCATCAAACTACATATGCTATCTTGCATATTTTACAAAATTGGATGACATTGTTATTATATGTATCTTATCAGAAACTTACCCTTATGAATCTTTTCTGTTGTTTGATGTATGACTGTGCTTAAGGTTTTGTTAGGACAAAAGAAAAAGAACATTCTAGTAAGTAAATAATTCCTATTTGCCACAGATGTAGGAAATAATCTAGATAGCTGAAGTAGCATTTTAGAGAGGATACTGTATATTCAATTCCATTTAAAAAACAGAATTAAAATATAACTATGGGGGACTGTTCTTTTTTGAGCTGTTAATCAAAATTCATATATCAACATCTAGGAGGCTTTTTATTTCACTGTTTTAAAGTTGCAGGTTCTCTCCCCCCCCCCAATCTTTTAAAAACATTCAGCAACTCTTTCACAACTCTATTATTGGATTAGAATTTGATATTATTATCAATGCTAAAAGAATGCCAGTCTCACTTGATGGCATATGAAATCTAAAATTCAATCAAAATATGTATTGAAAAACTAGTTATTTTAAAGCTATTTTAAAATTGCATTCATATAAATCAAATAAATCCAATCACCCAAATTTTCTCTCTAAAATAGAAGTAATTCCAGCCCCTGGGACCTATTTTAAATTTAAAAAGCATTTAATGATATTTATTTTAAATGTAAGCACCACAGTTAACTTAAAAGCATGGAAAGACTCTTTAAAAGCCATATTTTTTTAAAATTGCATTCTAGTTTATTGAAGGCTGAAATAGCGTGTGGAAGTATTTGCAGTTGAGAAAAAAACAGTATGATCCTACTTCTTACATGATTTTTGGAATTAAGGCATAGATTAGAACATGAATTACCTATCACCATGTTATTTGCTTTTGAGATAAGCAACATTGTACAAAATGCAGAAAAGGAATAGATCACCTCACTACACCTCTCCATAAGTTTTGATAATTGCAAATAATCTTAATTACACCAAGCCTATTAAAATACAGATTTTTCTCTGTCTTTTTCTTTTTCCATTCATCCAGCTATAACTGTTTTGGATTTCCCCTTCCTTTTGACCCATTCATTCTTTCAAAATATGATTCTTCTATTTATATGAACAATTTCAAAACTTCAAGTTAAAAACTTCATACAATAAAAAGGGAACGTCTAAACCAATTACACAAAACAAAATGTGCTTGAAAAGAGTATAAATGCAAATGTCACCCTAACCCTAACTTCTAAAGCCAATACTAAAGACTATTTAACATTTTATTCATTACAAAACATAAAGTCAAAATAAACCAAATGAACTATTTAGAGCAGGGGTGTTAAACTGCCGCCCTGCAGGCCGGACGTGCCACAAGGAAACCACGCCTACTCCATTGCCGGCAATGGGGAAAAAGTTCCGATACATTGTGCGACGTCATATGACATCGCGAATTTGACATGTCTGATTTAGAGTTACAATAGTTTATCCAAAGTGGAAACTGAGCAAGTAAAAGAATGGATACATAAGCAGCCCGCCTATTTTCAGTGTAGTTTGAGTAGCTTACAAAAAACAACTGTTCAGAAAGGATGAGTTTTCATTTCCTTTTAAAAATTATAATTTAACCCTCTTCAAATCATATTCAAAGCTTTCTTAGAATGTCTTACACAACATTTATCCAAATTCATTAATTTGATAGAAAAAAAGTTTTTTGTGTTCAATTGTTTAATATTTAAATAATGGAAATATGGTACAAAACCATAATAAATACCAGTAACTGGAGAGGATCCAAATAATTCTTTTATTAAATCTATTTGCTGTTTTCCCTCTGTTAAGAGCAAAGAGTGACAGAGACTGGTTGACAGAGTTCTTAAACAGAGTTACAGAAATAAAAAAAATGAGCATACATATTAATTTGAACATTGTCAAAGAATTGTTTTGCAACTAATAATATGTGGGATAAACAGGTAATCTGGGTATAGAGTTATAAACAGGAGAGCAAACATAGTTAATGAATAAATATGTGCCATTTAGCTTCATTGCTTATTACAGGAATGTTATACTCTTCATATTGACCAAGAATGAAATGAAACGTTTATTCTTTTTCAGTTATCAATAGCAGTATCTTCATCATAGTCAGTATGATTAGAATAATTAAGATGTTAGGACTAGGAGCAGAGGAGACCCATATTTTTATTTCCCTCTCAGCAAAGGAAGCCTTCTAGATGTGT